CTCCCTGGGGGCCCCCTGGGAGCCTTTGGGGGCCCCCTGGGGGCCCCCTGGGAGCCCCCTGGGAGCCTTTAGGGGCCCCTGGTGGCCCCCTTGGAGCCTTTAGGGGCCCCCTGGGGGCCCCCTGGGAGTCTTTGGGGGCCTCCTGGGGCCCCCCAAAAGCCCTTGTTGCTGCCCCTGGGGCCCCCCGTTTGGCCAGAGCCTGGGGGCCCCCTTTGGAGGCTGCGACAAAAAGAAAGCAGCAGCAAAAGCTGCTACAGCAAACAGCCATAGTGGGGCCCTAGGAGCCCTGCGGGGGCCCCCAAAGGGGGGCCCCTAGAGGGGCCCCCAGAGGAGCCCCCAGAGGGGCCCCCAGAGGGGCCCCTTAGGTTTTAATGGGGGCATCTCAAGAGCTGCTGCGGCATAGGGTCATTTTGCCGTTGGTGGGCCGTTGCCGCTAGGTCGCGCTGCTGCCCCCCCCTCCCTGCTGCTGCTGCTGCTGCTGCTGCTGCTGCTGCTGGGGCTGCTGCTGGAGGAAGTCTGAGACGGAAGAGCCGACAACTCTGAGGGCCCTGCCGATGCCCTCGAGGCCCCTGACGAGGCCGCCGGCGTGCGCGTGGAGGAGGTGCTGCTGCTGCTGCTGCGCTGCTGCTGCTGCGCGTCTGCTGCTGCTGCAGCAGCAGCAGCTTTCGTGCAAGTGCATGCAGCAAAGGTAAGAACCATAGGGCCTCCCGTCAATGCAATAAAATTCCGGAAAATATCTTATGCTGCTGAATCCGTTGCGGAGATAAAAGGAGAGAGCAGCAGCATTATAATCTGCCACGTGTAGATACAGTGCAACAGTTGCTGCTGGGTTGCTGCTGGACCTGAAAAACCCCACAGCTTGCTGCAGCAGCGCAGCAGCAACTCCCAGCCGCCGCAGCGGAGCAGCAACAGCAAGCGTCAGCACGTACGCCAGGTCGCTGCACTCCCGCTCGCCCTCCCCGCCTGCTGCTGCAGCAGCAGCAGCAGCAGCAGCAGCAGCGGCGGCGCGCTCCCGGTCCCACGTGCTGCTGGCCCCCGCCTGCTCCCCTGCTGCTGCTGCTGCAGTGGTGGCGCACGCGGAGGCTTCGCTAGGGCGCCTTGCCTCCGAGGTTGAAGCCTCAGCAGCAGCAGCAGCTGCTGCTGCTGCTGCTTCGTTCTTGCTGCTGCTGCTTTCCTGGCCAAAGGCTGAAAAGAATGAAGGAAAACCCAACAGCCCCTGCTGCCGCGCAGCCAGCTGCAGGCGGCAGGGCTCTTGCTGCTGCGCTGCAGTGGGGGCCCCCGGGGCCCCCTCCTCCGCAGGTGCTGCAGCGCCTGCTGCAGCGGCTGTAGCAGAAGCAGCAGCAGCAGCAGCAACTGCAGCAGCAGCGGCTTCCGCCATCTCCTCCTCCTTCTCCTTCACCCAGCTGCGCACAACTTCTGCATCTTCTTGGCCAATGTAAGTGAGGCTCTGGGAGACGGTGATGACACCCACAATCAGCTCTTCCTGCTGCTGCTGCTGCTGCTGCTGCTGCTGCTGCTGCTGCTGCTGCTGGGGGGTGGAGCTGCCTGTGGACTGCCAGGAGGAGAACCAGGAGAACCGCTCGCTGCTCGGCGCTGCTGCTGCTGCTGCTGCCGGCGCTGCTGCTGCTGCCGGCGCTGCAGCTGCGCCCGCCCGCCCGCCGGCCGCCGGCGCAGGCCCCTGCTGCTGCTGCTGCTGCTGCTGCTGCTGCTGCTTGAGTTTGAGAATGTCGCTGCGCTTGAGAACAGCCAAAAGGGCAAAGCCCCTGCCGGAACAAATGTAAGAATAAAAGGCGTCGTTGTAGGCAAAGGGAAAGGTCTCTGCATGCAGCTGCTGCAGCTGCTGGTAATCTGCTGCTGCAGCAAGTCGGTAAGACACCAGCGGCTGCAGCAGCAAAGCAGGCAGCCCCGCCACTTCCCGGTGTACAGGCAGCTGCAGCACGGGACACGGGATCCCGCAGTCCGTAGGAATCGCCGAAGACACGGCGTACTGCTGCTGCTGCTGCTGCTGCTGCTGCTCGCACTCCAGCAGCTCCTCCTGGGGGGCCCCCATAAAAGGCAGCCCCAAGTGTGGGGCCCCCGCGAGCAGCACTTCTGAGGTGTATCTACACAGCTGCGAGAAGCTGCTTTCTTCTGCTTCTTCTGCATGCGGAGCAAAAACTGAATCTAAAGAAGAATGTCTTTCCCGGGCTTTGGGGGCCCCCGGGGGGCCCCCGGGGGGCCCCCTGGGGGCCCCCAGGGGCCCCCTGGGGGCCCCCCCCCCGGGGGGGGCCCGGGGGGCCCCCCCGGCAGCGGGGGGCCCGGGGGGC